TGTGAAGCGTTTTCCTCTTCATGACCAGAGTATACAGCAGTTCCCCTGAAGCAAGTTCTCAGTTGTCCTACCTGTGTCCAATGTGTTTCATGATCCCGAGCACCTCGAGGTTGTATCTTTTCATTTCTGCCGCAACTTGAAATAGTCTTCCAGTCCCCACAATGTACGAACGTTCATGTACCTAAAAAAATGGTTGCTCTGGTTGTCAGAATAAGAGGCATCGGCCCCGGACTTCCGAGGGGACTCGGCTTTCATCACGAGACGTCATAATGTTCTTCGAACTCCCAGGGCAGAGTTAAAATGGTTTGAATTATTTTTTCTGGTTAGCGTTTTTTGGCAAGTTAGATTTCAACGGAATGGGGCCGCCAACCCCATGTCCAACCCTCCTCCTTTATCCGGGCTTGGGACCGGCAGTAGCCCTAAGGTTCTACTGGCGGAGTTACAACTTTCGAATTATCCTCTCTTTCACACTTGGGAAGCAAACAAAAATCAGCATCGAATAGGATTTCCATTTTCCTTGTAAACTATGTAGTGACTGACTCATCAATTCCTTAAAGCACAATGTTAATCTGTTAGTTTATCAATTCAAACAGTCAAGAAGTGATGATGACACAGCAGTAAGATTAATTGGTAAAAGTCTTCATCGCGTTCTCATGTTCTAAAACGATCATAATAGAATATATTAACCGAGAACAGAACATCCAAGTTTTATGAGATTTAGTTGCCGAATGAACAGAAGGCGACCTGACCATACGACGCATTGTGTCCAGTTTCTCTAATGTTCAAATACTCCTTTTTCTCTAAAATAACTCATTCTTAATGCGTCAGTACACTTCATTCTCAAATGTACTAAAAACACCACTGAACGCTTGTTAAGGTATCGGTCCACGTCAATGAGTGTTCTTCTACCTGTTGTGTCGATCTTCAGACAATGTTTCTACTCTTTTACATTCGTAACATCAAATTGCAATGAAAATATCACGATGAATAAATAATGCTAACTACCTACCATTAAAAACATGGGAATTGTATTTTTAAAAATCAAAGCTATTGAAATTGCAGTGAATTAAACGTTTCTCTTGGTAGTTTAGTCTAGGTCACACTGACGAGCAAATCTTTACATTTGCTTTTATTTCATTTAGAAATTTTTCCAATACAACTTCCAGTTTTAGTTTCTTTCAGTAACTCGGCACCTAACTACTATGGAACTGTTCTTTTAAATTCAGACAAAACTTATCATAGAACTAACTAGTGTAATTGAAAATCGTTTATAATTAGTAATTTGTTCTATTGTATCTTAAAGAAAGTGCGTAACGAATGCTTGCTTAAGGCATGATTCCATTTCAAAGAATCTAAGCATTCACTATGGTTAAATTAGGCAGTTGGTTTCAGTAGGATACACATGTAAGAGAATTCGTAAATTATTCATCACCGTAAACAATTGTGAATGCATGAAATAATAATAACCTGTCGAATCCCACCAACTTTGTTCCTCTGAAACTAGATACAATGAGCGTTTCACATTTCTACAATTTGGCGATTATAGACGAAGTTGTGTAAATAAGTAAAACTTGAATCCAACAGTTGGTACAGCCACCGCATTTGCCCCGGACGTTTTAGAAATTCAAACTTCCACTGACATTTTCATTTCCTGTCTTACACTTACAATATTTCACCAACTGATCCATTCAACGAATGTTCAGAAACCACATTTTATTAACTCACTATTACATTTAACCGTAAAAATCAATGTATATAATACACATAAATGTATTGTTTATTGACCTGCCATCATTTTACTGGCATGCTGAATTCAAAAGTAACCTTCCATTTCCTACACTAGTAAACTGTTCATTTTTTATATCATAATCATTCAGAGTATATAAAACATGAACGCCGACAAAAGATGTTTCAGTTTGTCCTCTACATCAATCATTAACCATGCAAATTTGTCAGATTTTCAAAAGAAAACGTTTTAAATTTATGCTGAACGTTATCCGTTTACTTCCTATACATCTTCGATAAGCATATCAGTTCTTAATCCGTGTACTTTTCCGTTGCACTCAGACCATACATTTCATAGCGCTAGGGTGGTGAACAATCTCTTGTTATGGTGACCAGCTCATTTTCTCTACTGGTTTTTTGTACAGTATATGGTGCAAACTAGTGAACAAAGAATGCATTGGAGATAGGAATCTGTCGCTACATACTCACATACACTTGATCAATACACCCCTATCAATCACATTCATCTCATTGGACTACTACTGATTGAGTATGATTTTAATTGGTCGTTGGTGGCCTTGAAATAGTGGTCAGAAGATCATGTGACAAGACGCTGAGACCGATACATTTGGATAGACAATAAAAGTATGAGAAAATTTGCAATGTGCAAGCTACAAGTCGTGCTAAGTTTTTGTCGTTCCAGTTTTTCTCTGCCTTTTGCGTCGTTTGGGTTCATCAGCCATGAAATGCCCTTCATGCAATCAGGAAGTTTACTTTGGTAGGTTCAATAGCATGCATTTCTATCGAATAGCTGAACGGGTCACTATACTTGGGAAAGATTGGCATCCTCGGTGCCTAAAATGTGAACACTGCAAGAAAACACTGACAGTGGGTTCTCACTGTGAAGTAAGGAATTTTGTTTACTGTGTTGTTTTTGTGAATAGATTGGATCAGAGTCATTACGATATTGTTCAGACGGGAGTACACGTCACTCCACATTGCCTAATTTTGTTCCACTAGATATCCTGTCATTGTTGTCAATATGAGTGCCCTAATTCATCTTGATACTTCCGCTTCATATTTGATTCAGCTTAGCTGAGGGTATTAAGGTTGATATTATTAGCCACTCTGACCTAACATGACATCAGCATGATCAGACTTGTTTGTATATGTCAAATATTGGATGTGATTTGATCCCCGTGCTTTTATTCAGACTTACTTGCCATAGTTGTTCGTTCTCTGAGAAAAGTGACGCTCTAAGTGGCGAAGTATCACAGATTCAATTTTTTATTCATTGGAGAGTTGCGAATGTAGTATTATTGTGATCAATCCTCCCAAGGGTCAATTAATATGGAATTGTCAGGTCAACTCACGTCGAGACCTAAAAGATGGTTGACCTCGTTCATTCTTCATTCATTTTATAGTGTTATGAAAGGTTTTCACTGTGAGACAACTTCGAAAAAATAGGATGATAATATAGTACGGTACAACCGCGTAAGTCTGATTGACACCCATGAATTGGCTGGAAAACTTCTGAAAACATATTATCTTGCATATTATCCTCACTAGTCAGTATCTCCTGACAGGTTTTGTGCCAGAATGTTCGTTTTGTTTTGCAGTAGTGTCAGTTTTGGTCACTACATCCACCGAAATGGCAATCAGCTGGTTCTTTAGAAGTAATAGACAATGTATCGATGTGATGACTTTGGTTTCATGTTGTTAGTTTAGAGTCGATAAAATATGGCTTCACACGCGGCATTTTACTGCACATTAATTCATCATTCTCAGCAGGAGAGTGCTTCTTAACAAAATTTCTCACGGTGTTTTATTTAGTACGGGATACCTTAGGAAAATTGGAAGTTCAAGTATGCTGTTCAGATACTGGGGTTGTGTATAAAAGCATAAGAGCTTTATTATGGAATTGGTGTAAACTCAGACTTTAATAGGATGAAACTCCTACCGCTAATCAATGTCTCATATTCATCTATATTTCAGCATGATGGTAAACCTTATTGTAAGATTCCATGTTACCAGTCCCTGTTTGGACCCAAAGGTGAGTGATCATCAAGTCTGTTTGTTAATAAGTTGGTTTAAAAGTTTAACAGATTCTAGGATGTGTTGATACTCAATTCGGTTGCTAATGTATTTGGTAAGAATTATCATGTTTAGTGTCAAGTTGTTTATCACTGAAATAATTGAGACGAGCTATAAACTAGTGAGTGGTGTGTAGTTTAGTTCAAATATATGTTCTTGATAAGTTGGAGTATTGTGTATGTGCATAAAACTAATCTCCGTTCTGAGAAATAGATGTGAAGTAAATTAAGTATGACAGTGACACGTTTAACGATCGACAAGTCAATATTATAAGATGGTAAATAGGAGGGCTTTGTATACTGCATTTACTAGCAAAGGTATGTTTCTAAGTACAGAGTGAAACATCATTTCAGGAGAGATTTGTTTCGAGGACAACAGGATTCCTTAGATAGGACTTTAGAATCTCGCGCCATCGATGTTTGCTGCGTCTCGGAAATGCGCATAAAGAATCCACGTGGCGTCATTCACTTGATCTCTCGTGTATCTGGAAGCCCTGCGGTTGCTTCCTGGAGTTTCACTGGTGTAGGTATAGCACTCAGTCTTAAGGCAGAACTAGCTCTGGTAGACTGGATCCCTGTTGATTGTCGTGTGCGCATTGTCCGACTGCCGTCGCTTCTTCGTTCGTATCTGCCTACGCTCCCACCAACTGCAGTTCAGACGAGGTGAAAGATGAATTCTACGGGAAGCTTTCAAACCTATAAAAAGTTACGCGCTCTGATGTAGTAGTAATCGCTGATGACTTTAGTGCTCAATTAGTTAGACTAATTGGAAAGACACCTGGGTGGATTTTATGCTGTGGCGGCTCAGATAACCGCCTGTCTCTAGCAAACACTAACTTTAAGCATAAAGAAAAACATATTTTGACTTGGCGACACCCAAAGAAATCACAACGCCGGATCCAACTAGATCACGTTGGAAGGTTCGATAGAGGACTGTCGCTCGTTCTGGGGCACATTTTCGAACTTAGGTCATGCTCTAGTGCGAGCACGTATTTGTTTGCGACTTACCGGACGTCGGAAAGACACCTCATGTAAACCCTTTAGGGTTCTTTTTAGCGATAGTAGTGCTATGATTATATTTCAGGAACAACTAGAAAAATAGGCGACCATGTAAGCGATTCCTATCCGGAGGCAGCTTGGAATGAAAAGCCTTAGGAACAGCAGTGATATCCTCTGGTAACGTAAACCATAAGGCTAGGAAGAAGCCATGGATCTCTGTAGCATTCACCGAACTGATGGATGCTCGAGAACTCATCCTACCTGACTCTGAACATCGAGAGCGAAGTAAGCTTAAGCGCAGGCCGATGAGAAGCCTAGGCATCGACCGCGAACAGTTATTGGTGGCGAAAACCTGAGGCGAGGGAGAGCAGCGAGTCCTGAAAGACTGACTCCTGAGGTCTTTAAGGATGGTGGTCCAGTTTTAACAGGTAGATTGACAGAGATCTAAGGTAGAATCTGCGAAATAGGCGTAATCCCAACTGACTGTTCGTAATCACTGACCCAATTTACAAGAAAGGACAAAAGTCCTTGTGACAATTACAAGGGAATCAGTCGAACTAATATAGTATCCAAAATATTGGAATCAGTAATGCTCCGACGCTTAACGAAAGCTCGTGAAGAGCAGACTCGAGAAAATCAGACTGGTTTTCGACCTGGACGTGGATGTATAGACCAAATATTCACACTAACCTAGGTCTTGGAACACAGACACACATTTAGGCGTCCTACAGTAGTTGTCTTCCTGGACCTAAAAGCGGCATTTGACTCAGTGGATCGTAAGGTTCTGTGGCAGTATGTCATTGAAAGGTGTACCAAGGAAGTACATTAACCTTATACAAGCTCTCTACTCGAACACCACTGGTCTAGTAAGAGCTTATGGCGAACTGTCATCGAAATTCTTTGCTTCAAGTGCTGTCCGTCAGGGCTCTCCACTCTCTTCATTTCTGTTTATCTTTGTCGTAGACTTGCTCCTGGATAAACCATTATCTTCGTCTGAATTTTCAGTAGTAGACCTTATACCAGGAGATTCATTGGTTGACTTAGAATATGCCGATGACCTAGTTCTACTTTTTACACGCTGACACAATACAGTCTTCTGACTCCCCTGAGCAACAATGCAAGCAAGTTCGAGGTGCAGTTCTACCCGTCGAAAAGCAAAATGTTGCTTCAAGATTGGGTCGCATCGGTACCTGAACTAGTGATAGGAAGTGAAATAGTCGAGCGTGTTGATCGCTTCACTTATCTTGGGAGTCTCATCAGTGCTGATGGCCAGGTCTGTGACGAAATCTTGGCATGGATAGAGAAAGCTCAATTGGTTTTTGCCAACTTGCGTCACTTATGGTGAAGGCGAGATATCCGTTTGCTGATTAAAGGACGAGTGTACTGCGTAGTAGTTCGCTCCGTCCTACTTTGTGGCTGTTAAACATTTCCAGTTAGCGTAGAAGACATTTTTAGTTTATTAGCATTCCATTATAGATGTCTTTGAAGCATTTCTCGTGTATGATGGGACAACTGAGTAAGCACTGCTGTTGTTAGCAAACATGCTAGGTCGATAGATGAAGTATTGAAACTTCATCAGTTGAGGTGGTTGGGACATGTGTTGCGTATGCCTAACCACCGACTGCCTCTACGAAGTATGTTTTGTAGTGTTAGAGTGGGTTGGAAGAAAGCTAGGGGCGGCCAAACCAAAACATGGCAGAAATCCATGAAGTCACTGACAAGTGGACTGAGTTATGTTGGTAGATGCAGGTTACCTGCTTGGGGTCTGCGAGACGAAAGTGATCGATGTTTAGAGACCTTGAATAACATGGCTCAAAATCGTTTGCAGTGGCGCTTGTGCATCCACTCTTTGTGTTCCGTGAAATTTTAACCTGAACATCTCATCATCTCTATCTGTCTAAAGTTATCTCACTGAACTATACTTCTGAATAATATCTTCGATCCCTAATATTCTCTTTTGCGGATAATCCTTCTACTATCTCCACCACTATAGGATTTTGACTTACAGTTTCGTCTCTGTGCTGGTGCGGTATGACAACCTGAACCGATGTACATACTTACGAAGTTCTACGTTTTAACTGCATGACTGACTTTTGGAAATTAACATTGATATACTAAACATATGTTCAAATGTTTCATACGGCTTATTGGCATATTTTGTTTCCAGGTTATGGGTCAGTGGCCAGCAGTCACATCTACAAATAGATAACAAATTTGTTATATAATGGTCATTCCAAGATTGGTCTATGAAGTCTGTGTGACTGCTCTTGATGTCTCTTGTGAGACAACTTCAAACGATCGTTCCTTTATTACTGTTTAATTACTTGATTTTGATATTTTAATTTATGAAATAAACGTGCAGATTAAAATTTGTGTTTTACTTTTCACTCTCAGTTGTAAGTCCGTAAGTGGTGGTGAGAAGCGGTTAACTCATCTTCATCTTTACCTTTGAGATAGGAGAGGAAACAGGGATTGCAAGGCGGAAAGATCTCAATGGTTTGGTTTCTTAGTCCATACAATCGTGCTCATGTTATTATGCACAATTTATGGTGTTTTTTGAGTGGAGAAAGCAGTGGTGTTTGTTTAGTAAATAAATCGCCAGGCTGATTAGAAAGTATATGCTTGAAATCAAAAAGAAGAACAAATAGTGAATGGACACATGGTCAATGGGCAGTTGATAAGTGATAACCTGGTAATTGTATTTGATCGGACTGCATTTCCACATCCTGTATTGGTTTCACTCCTTGATATAGGACTCAGAGTTCACCAACTACTTTGTAGTTATATGCGACCGATTTCCTTTGTCACTTCATAGGCGATTGGGCAGCTGATCCACAAAGAAGGCAAGTTTGTAAATGTTCCCTGCATGATACATTTTAATTTGTTAGTTGCAATGATAGTACGTATTTGCTGTTAGTTTATGAATATCTTGCTCAACACATAGGTGCACCACATATATCTCATTCATTTTACTTTTGATGTTTGCGAATGAAGTTTGTTATGTGGAATAATTTGACTTGAGCGTCAGATATGCTGGCGAATTGTTAACTGCACGTAGATACTTAAACTGTAATGTATATGCAATTGAAGTTCGATGTCGATAGTCAACTAATGAATGGAGACAATAAAGCAATCAGATGACAGCTGTAACACAGTAGTTGGATTACTGTAAGATGGGATATTACAGAACTAACCGGAAGAGTACCAGCTTATTAGATTCTTAATCAAATAAGGTACTGCTCTTCAATAACCTGCGGAAACCGCAGGAGGTATCCCCTTTCCCGAGTTAAAGCGATTGTAAACTCATAAGCTGTTGATAGGTGCTTTCTATCTTCGGAATTTCATTTACGTGTTTACAGGTTACAAACTTAATATGATCAGTTAGTTGGCTACAACGTAGGACTTGATACATACGTACATCGGCTCAAGTCGCCATACCACATTAGCACAGAGAGATGGGATTGTCAGTTCAAATCACATAGTGGTGGAGGTATAAGCAGTAATCGTAAAGATTAGGGTTCGAAGATATTACTCTAGGAGTACAATCCAGTGAAACAAATTCAAAAAAAGAAAAAGATGAAAGTGATGAGAAATTCAGAACATTAGAATTTGAAAGAATAAGGAAAGTGGGTTCATTTGCGCCATTCTAAACGATTTCGATCCATGTCATTGAAAGTCTAACCACTGGTCGCAATTGCCTCGCGGACCCCAACCTGGTAATTTGCACCTACTAACATGTCTGTCAAGTTGTCAATGACTTCATGGATTTCTGCCATGTTTTGGTTTGGCCGGCCTTAGCTTTATTCCAGCCTGCTCCTACGTCAGGCAACACAGATCGTCGGGGTGGCTGGTGGTATAGCATTCATAATACATGTCCCAACCACCTCACAATTGATGAAGTTTCATGACGTCATCTATTGATTTGCCACTCTTACTAAGTACTCATTTCCCAACACTAACATTGCTTATTCGGTGATACCAGGATATACGAACAATGCTTCGAAGAAACCGATGATCGAAAACCAGCATCCTGCGAATAATCTATGCTCTTAATTGCCATGTTTTACAGCTATAAAGTAGGGTGGAACGAAGTGATGCGTGCAGGGTTATTACCACCGTAAACGGGAATCCAAGGGGTAGAGTGCGGTGTTAGTCATTAATCCACTTACGTGTGAAAGATTGAATCAAATCAATCAATATTAATTTATGAGCTATTTTATATCGCATCTGTAATATCTGTTTAGTGTGTCTTCATAATGAAGTGTCCAGTATGTAACAAAGAAGTTTACTTCGGTGAGTAATGTATCGTGGTTTTTAATTGAACAGCTGAACGCATTGAATCATTGGGAAAGGACTGGCACCGCAGATGTTTAAAGTGTGAAAGATGTTACAGGCCAATTACACCAGGTTCTCATTGCAAGGTGGGTGTAAATGTATGTTAATTACGTTGTGAATGGAATATAATAATACAGATTTAATTATATTACCTTATGTACCTGCATGTTTTGGTTATTATGTTATAAATATACCATATTTCATGAAACGCACATATTTGGGTTGAAAACATCAGATCTTATTACTTTTGTTCTTGTATATATTATGTTTTCTTCAAGTCCATTGGCTTTCTCATATATCCCATTGAGTGATCAATGTGAGTGAAG